AAATCACCCAAACCAAATCCCTGCGCTTTCTTGTGTAAGAATTCTTGATATTGGGTTAAATTTAGAGAGATTGTGAAGAAGATTTAAGTTTAGCAATTAAGAATAGAGAAGAATTGGGAAAGAAATTAGAGAAGAACAGAGAGAAGAAGAAAGATTGGCAATTAGGGATTTGTTAATAATTCTTGTTTAATTTTAAAAATAGACACTCCAAAGTTTAAATATGCGAAGAAAATAACCCAAACCAAAATTCATGTACTTTCTTGATCTTGGAATCAAACCATCCAACTCATGAATCCCTTCTGATTTTAATATTAATCACGAATATGTTATACAATTATAGATATTTAAACTATAAGAGGTTGAAACTATAGCCCTGTTTACTTTCATTTCTGTTTCCTGTTTTCGAGAAAACAGATGTTGAAAACAGGTGAAAACGACATTTTTTCGTTTTCGAAAACAGTAGGAATTTGCCACTTTCTGTTTTCAGAGTTGGAAACGAATAGAAAACAGAATGAAAAGTAAACATGTTTTCTCGTTTCGTTTCCCAAATTTGTAACATGAAAACAGAAAACAGGAAACGAAAATGAAAGTGAACAGGGACTAAGAAGTTGGCCTAATAATAATATGGGATGAAAATATTCCCTATATCGTATATTCTATTCTTGAGACCAACAACAACAAAAAGAAACTAAGGCTACGTCGCTATCTCCTTGTGGTGGATAAGAGTAGCAAGTAACAGATGAATGGCCACATAATAAATTCCACTATTAGGAGAGAAAAAACTCCTCAACTCGTATAATTATGACTTATGAGTTATGAGACGAACAGCAGACGGGCCGAAAAGGCCTGACAAACGACTCAAGCCCAGAAATTAGCCCAGCAACGATCTATTATAGATCCCGACCCAGTCGATAGATCACCAAAACGCCTAGGATCTTATAAGTTATAGTGCAAATAAATGCCCAACCAACGAGAACCACGGGCCCAAACATATCAGATTCGACTCGCTGAGCATGGGAAAAATGGCTTTAAGTTAATTATTTATTTGTTTTACAGAAGGATAATTAATTAATAATAACCAAATTAAACAATCAAACACTTGGTTGGGTTGTTTCATTTTTACATAATGCTGACATTGTTTTGTTTCTAGAATAACTTACTTCTTAATAATAAAATAAATTTTCGATAAAATTGTTGTACTTATAATGACAAAGGTATATTAATGTGAATGAACTAAGCAAGCTGGTGATAGATAAATTTGTACTGAATTACTTAGCATAAATTTAATCAAAATATATAAATTTGCAACTTCAATTTTAATTCTCTACTTTCAATTCCTATGTTTTCCATTTTTTTGCATACACATAATTCATAATTGTAATTTTTCGCAAGGGAAATTTGGCTTGGCACGCCTATTATACAAAATGTTTCTTGCTAATTACCGGAAAAAAAATGTTTCTCAATTTGAGAATTGTGGAATATGTAATGATTAATATTATTTTTATTCGGGTTGACAAAATTATCTAAAAATTGTACATATCTGCCCGAATTTATCTAATTGGGTAGGGTAATTCTCGAACCCGAAAGATTTTTCGTGCGTATGGGTAAAAGTCGAATCCGAATATTGCAAGTATTGGGTAGACATGATTTTCTCACTATCCAACCCAAATTTGTCCGATTATACACATGCATATGTATTTTATCTAGAAATGATCATTATTTCTCTCAACAAATTTGATATTTATTGTACATATATAAGGTTTTCATGAAATTGTGTTCTTTAACTATTTTTCTTTATTTTATTAATTTATTACCGTACCTTTTCACTTATGTAATGACACTATTCATGTGAATATTATTATTGGTTAGAGTTATAAAGAAAAATTATTAGCCATAGATAATTGTGGATACTCGAAACATCGGATATGGCATTATTTTAAATTTCTACTCTTGTTTAAGGTTAAACTTCCCATCCAAAAATTTAAGTTCAAATGAAAAAGGATGTTTTCTTTTTGTTCGAGTGTTAATTTGGGGAGGGTGTTTTCTGGCTTAGGATAGGGTCAGTAACCAATGGTTACTGACCTATGAGTAACTAAATCTGGACCTTTAGATCTAAGTGGGTCCAGAAAATTCAGATATAATGATTATCAATTAAATACATTTTATTTTCTCTAGTTTTCTTAATCGGCTCTTATCTTCTTCGTTCTAACTCTGATTTCAAATTTTTTTGCACAGATGGAACGAGTTCGTTGTGCTCTACAAAATGAGATCAATTTTCAATATATTTTGAAAAACTTTTTTTTACCAACTGCATACCATATGGTAACTTCTTCGTTTTTAAGTCGTTTTTGAAAACGTTTGCTCAGAAGGAACGAGTTCATCATGATCTATTGGATCTATAAATTTCTTGGTGAAAAAAATACTGGATCAAAAATTACCATACTTTACCACTATGGTATGTGGGTGGTAACTTGTAGTAAACAATTATGAAAGTCGTAAATGATAGTTACTATACTCCTTCTATAATGTATTCAACCTTCTTACCATATTGGTATGTTCATACCATCATGGTACGCTTTCTTACCATATGGTATTAAATAGGAGCATACCATATGGTAATGACTAGTAAAAAATTATTCAATTTTTTATGTACTAAAAATATATCAAAGTGGATATCATTTTAAAGAGCACATTTAATCTGATTTATCTATGCAAAAAAACTTAAATTTCGACTTAAAATTAGAGAGAAATCGTCCGTTAAGGATTAAAGGAGAAAAGATAAAAAAACTTTCCAGGAGAGAGGATACTGATGTCATGCTGATGTGGACAGGTTACTCATGCTTACTCATCGTAGAGTTACTAACCTAATCTGTTCCCGTGTTTTATTTTGTTCGATTTGTACCAGCTCTATATTGTTTTGCCTACTGCTGCTGTTTGTTGCTGCAGTCTTTGCTCTACAGCCTTGTTGTGGTGATTCCATCACCTCTTTTGTAATCTTCTCCCTTTTTTCCCTTTTCTTAAGTAATAAATTATGTCACCACTATAAAAAAAAGTCTAGTGTTAATTTGGGCTTCACTATTCAACACACCTTCGGTTTCAACCTTACAATGATCCAAAACATGAAAATTTGCTAATATATTTTTATTTTATTTCGTAAAAGAAAATCAAGAACAATAATATCATATCATATCATATCATATCATCTGGTAAAACCAGTAAAATTACTTACATCTGCTAGCTACATCGATAATTACACACATATGATTACAAATAGTTGTATGACCAGTACAATATGATTCAACTCATCTCGTTGTATATTAGACGATTTTGTTTTATATTACATCGATATAAAACCAATTGAATATCTGAATTTATTCAAAAATTACGTCATACCTGTTTAACTGCAAATATACCATCTATATTTAATTCTGCATATTTATCCAGTACTAGACATGTGGTTTCACTAAAATACACAGCAAAACAGGCTGGTCAAGCCCAAAGATTTTGATTATGGGGAATTGATTTACAGATGAGACTTCCACTTGTTAATAGCCAGTTAAGTCGTGCTAGGGATCCGAAGATATCAATAATGTTGAAACGCAGAAGCAAAAATCCAAAAGAAGCATGAGCCCAAGTTTCGGGGCTGAACTGAACATGGCAATTTGGCAAATTGCTGTACTAATCCGCAAACTTCCAAGAGTTTACCGAGCACTTCACTTGTCTCTATCCGCAAACACAGATCAAGAAATCTCACGTCCACACATGGCTTCATGATGCCTTTTGCTGTCATCAATTATTTATCACACTAACACACACTCTTCAAAATTCACAAGCCAATGGTCACAGGCCTTTTGTTGTTATTAGTTAATGAAAGCTTAGGCATGCATGACGAGGAATGAAAGTTTTTAGATGGTTGTTTCCTGTTGGTTAAGATTAGAAAGTTCCCTGTTCACTTCCATTTTCGTTTCCTGTTTTCTGTTTTCATGTTACAAATTTGGGAAACGAAACGAGAAAACATGTTTACTTTTCATTCTGTTTTCTATTCGTTTCCAACTCTGAAAACAGAAAGTGGCTAATTCCTACTGTTTTCGAAAACGAAAAAATGTCGTTTTCACCTGTTTTCAACATCTGTTTTCTCAAAAACAGGAAACAGAAATGAAAGTAAACAGGGCCTTAGGGTGTAGTGTAAGCAATGGTGGATCCATAATAAAATTTTATTCAGAGGTCGCATTTTTTTAAAATTAAATTAATAATAATAATAATTGATGATAAATTATATGATTAGTAGCAAATCTTTTTTCATGTATTTTACTAGACAATAATTCATTAACTGATCGTCTATTCGATTCCGAAACTTGTTTTTATGTAACCCAAAGCTGGGCAAAAGCTCTTTGAACACTTTTAAATTACAACAGATAAAATCAATACAAGTTTGAGAAGCAAATTAATAAATAAATAATGATATATGCAGTTTGATCTCCACCATCAACTGAGCTAATTCACCAGTGAAACCAATTAAAGTGGATTATATATGGAGGAGGGAGGGGGGTGGATTGTGGAGGGAGAGTTTCGACAAAAGATTAACGAAAGGGAGAGAAGAGAAGGTCGAAACTTGTGTTTCCTTTCCTTCGTATATCATAAGTGTATCCAATTAAAGGTTAGGTTTTATGATTTGGAATAAAATTTTTTACTTTTTTTCTATACTCAAACTGTTACCAGTGATTTATATAATTGTTATCTCCAATTTTTAGCAATGTCTCGAAACACCACCACTAGACATGCTTTGGGTCTGCCCCTTGGTGTAAGCCAAGATAAATTTATGCTTAAACAATTTATTATTATCAAGTGAGCCCTATAAAACCCACCCGCCATTTCTTCCCTTCAACCCATCAATCCCTCTACTCCTTCTTCACTCCACTAAGCCACTGAGAGAGAGCTACCTATCCACTTCCTCCTCTCTCCAACTCCAACCCCAAACAACTCTTCTCTTTCTTTCATCAATGGCTTCCAAGACCAACTCAGCCATGGCCCTCTTCCTTGTCCTTAACCTCCTCTTCTTCTCCATGGCCACAGCCTGCGGCGGAGGCTGCCCCACTCCCAAACCCAAACCGAACCCTAAACCAACTCCTACTCCTTCCTCCGGCGGTGGGAAATGCCCCGTAGACACACTCAAGCTGGGCGTCTGCGCCGACGTGCTAGGCAATTTGCTCAATCTCAAGGTCGGCAACCCGCCGGTTCAACCGTGCTGCAGCTTGATCAATGGGCTGGTTAACCTTGAAGCCGCCGTCTGCCTTTGCACCGCCATTAAGGCCAACATCCTGGGGATCAACCTCAATGTTCCCCTCTCTCTCAGCCTGCTTCTCAATGTTTGTAGCGTCAAGGCTCCATCCGGATTCCAGTGCCCTTGAAGACAGACCAGCCAAAACGGCGTCTTCTTCTTTGATTCGGAGAGATAATATTCTGCTGCATTTTATTGATTTAATATTCCTTGGATTGTTTGTACTGTGCTTGATTTTGGTCGAGATAACTTTGTTGTGGTTTCTTTCTCTCTAGCTAGCGTCTGCTGAGGGAATGTTGAATAAACTGTATATATTTTTTTTATGGTTGTACGTGCTCCTATGATTATGGGGAAGTAACTTATTGGACTTTGATCGATCCTTATATCGTCCCTAATACTGGAATTACGTAGATTATTATAGCATATCAATTTTTTTTATCAATGGCCTATATCATTTCATTAATTGGGTGAAGCTGTTATAAACGCGCTGCTACGGATCGGGAAATCGCCGGAATCGACAAAGTAAGAATACGAAAGCGAGAATCGAAAGAACACAGACACACGATTTACGTGGTTCACTAACACGATGTGTGTTAGCTAGTCCACGGGCGAGAGAGAGCCAGTTTCACTATATCGAGGAGATTACAGATTACAGAGGAGTATGAGAAGTATTTATAGTACTTCTCCATGTGGGTCTACAGCGAGACCCCCGATTACCAGTCGTAGCGGCTGATAGTCCGATTCAAGTCATATCAACAAATCTCCACCTTGACTTGAATCCTCTTCCTCTGAAATCTCTGATGTACTCTGCTCCTTCTCTCTCTCTCTCTCCCGCCATCAATGCCCCGTAGGGCGGAGTCACCCACTCAAGACATTCAGCAAGTCCAAGCAGTGTTGGAACTTGCCATGAGGGACCGGCTTCGTGAACATATCAGCAGGATTATCCGCGGTGCCAACCTTCTTCACCTTAATCCTCTTCTCTGTCCTCAAGAAATGATACCTCACATCGATGTGCTTAGTCCTCTCATGGTGGACTTGATCCTTGGCCAAGCATATTGCACTCAAACTGTCGCAATACACCACTGCCTGATCATGATGTAGACCAAGATCACCAACCAGTCCCTTCAACCATATTCCCTCCTTAGCAGCTTCTGTCAACGCCATATACTCTGCCTCAGTAGTAGACAATGTCACCGCCGACTGCAAAGTTGCCTTCCAGCTCACTACAGAACTCCCAAGAGTGAATACATAACCGGTCATCGATCTCCTCGTGTCAACATCTCCAGCATAGTCCGGTCAGTGAGACCCCCGATTACCAGTCGTAGCGGCTGATAGTCCGATTCAAGTCATATCAACAGAAGCAATAAAACTGTAAACTGAGAAATCAATAGAATCGGAGGTCAATGAATCAATAGTGAGATAATTAAAGATTGTCCACATGTACACTAAAAAGATTATGTAAGGGTAGAGACATCCTTCCTCAACTTTAATTTTTGAAACAAATATAAAAAAATTATTTTGACTACCTTATTTTTAAATAATATTTTATTACCTAAAATTTTCAAAATTCATAATGATCACAAAATTATATTTCATTTGGATTCGGGAATTCAATCCAAAAATTCAAAATTCCATATAATTCAATAAAAAATATATAAATCCAATTATTTGCCACCTGTAATAGTAATCACCCATGTTGCATACTGTTGATGTACTTGAATCGGACTATTTGGCAAACATCCGGACTTGAATCGAACTATCTGGCTAACGACTTTATGGGCTGATAAACGTTTGGGTTGCTGTTTTGGGACTAGTTGTAACTGTTTTTTCTTTACTAGAATCAATTACGGTTAGATAGAGAATTGGTATAAATACTTATCATACTACTCTGTAATCTGTATCTCCCCGAAGTATAGTGAAACTGTGTCTTTTTTGTCCGTGGACTAGCTAACACACATTATGTTAGTGAATCACGTAAATCTGTGTGTTGTTTTCTTTCTTGTTTTTGAATTCTTATTTTATCGAATTCTCCAATGTCTCGATGCACAGATAAAAAGTTGTAACGCATACTTTAGTTTCTGGCGAAACCCTAGCTAGTTTATTGGTCCATATGTCATTTATTTGAAGGGTAAAAGACTAGCACATTGGTCTAGGATATTTATGTTTGTTCCTTCGAATCAATTTTTGTAAATATTGTTTGGTATTTCTTTTGACCGAGCTTAAGCTGTCATGCAATGCAATTTAGATCTCCCGTAAATTAAACCTGGAATGTAGCTAGCGCGTCCGCATATGCCAACATGCCGGCCTACTATTCATATATCGTCAAACATCCCATTATTAACCTTTTGGTTTTTTTGGTCGACAAAGATTCCTTTTATATAAGTACAGCTGGATCAACATATTTATCATTGTGATGTGTGCCTTCGAGAAACATACTTTATTTAATTTAACCAGTCATTGACTCTGTGGATATAACTTGAATTAGATGTTTTACTGTCTATGGTAAGCAGTGGCGGATCCAGTACTGAGTAAATCACTTGGCAACATTTTACAAAGAGGCAGAGTGGGTTGGGCTGTAGCTCGACGAACACTTAAACGAATACCGAAAATAAAAAAAATTACAAGTATTATACTAGGTTTGATCCAGAGGAGGGTTGGGCCGCGGCCCGGGGGCGGCCCCTGGATCCACCGCTGATGGTAAGTCATATGGCTTTTGTGTTTGACATGTTCTGCAATCTTATTCTTTACTAAATTGGATTAGCGTTAGACCATTGGAGAAGTACTTTATATACTTCTCATACTACTCTGTAATCTGTAATCTGTAATCTCTGCAAGTATAGTGAATGTGACTCTCTCCCGTCCATGGACTAGTTAACACACGTTGTGTTAGTGAACCACATAAAATGTGTGTTCATTACATTTTTACTGATGGTTGTCTATCTTGCATGGTCAATTGCCCCGGTCCATGCGTGACAGAATCGAATGATCATATATGAGAGCTACCATGATGTATTCATGTATTCAATTTTTAGTATTTATTAAATATATCTTTGACAATCGACAACAAATTGTAAATTTTTGTTTTGTCGAATATTTATGAGATATGAAAAAGGCTTAATATATGAAAGTGAATCAAGTATTTTTCTTGAATTAAATTACACAAAAATAATTTATATTGTGCGAACGAGGGCTTAATATTTGAAAGTGAATCAAGTATTTTTCTTGAATTAAATTACACAAAAATAATTATATTTTGCGAACGAGGGCTTAATATATGAAAGTGAATCAAATATTTTTCTTGAATTAAATTACAAAAAAATACTTTATTTTGTGTGAACGAACCGTTGATCTTGTAGTATGTTCTTTTTTTAATTTTCAACCTAAACATCTCAAATTTGAATCTTAAAGCAAACTTCTCCTTCCCTCAACAAATCTTCAATAGCATGTAAGAGGAAAAAGTTACATGGTACTGAATGATTTCACCAAAGAACAATCGACATGCAGAATAATTAGAATATATAAATTGCAAGTTAAGTAATCAACTTTAAATCTCACAAAAATTCTACTTTTTTTTTATAATGATCGGATTGAAATCTTATATAAACATCATGGAAGGAATATCTATAAACAAAAATACATGAATACAAAACTCTCTAAATATCAACTACTACAGAACACAAGTCACACATAGTACTTAATCATTTAGGAATTGCCATCCACTAGCTTCATAGATACTTGACGCAAGGATGAATTTTAAGCAAGAAAACAAAATTCACAAGTTGCACATATAAAATCACTTGAATATAATTTTCCATTGAATATCAAATACCATATATATCAACCTCGATACACAACAAATCAAGAAAAGAAAGAATAAACGCCAGCCACTGAGCTCGTGTCGAACATGGCAATTTGCAAGACTAACCCACAAACATCCAAAACTTTGCCGATATTTTCATGCCTCTCTCTCTCTTTGCAGATCAAGTTTCCAGCCTACACCAAAAATAATCTCACGTTCACACATCCTACTCCTAGCTCCCTAAAACCCTATAAAACCCTCTCATTACCACTCCTAATCTCTTCACCAATCCCACTCCACTTAACCAACAACAAAACAAAAAAAAAACCATGGCCTCCAAAGCCAACTCAGCCATGGCTCTATTCCTCGTGTTCAACCTTCTCTTCTTCACCATGGCCACCGCCACCAAAAAGGCCTGCCCACCTCCGCCACCACCACCAACCAAGTGCCCTCCGCCGCCGCCGCCACCAACCAAGGCATGCCCGCCACCGCCTCATCCCAAGCCGACTCCCACTCCCAGCCCTTCTCCCAAGAAATGCCCGATTGACGCACTCAAATTGGGCGTTTGTGCTGATGTCCTCGGCTCGTTGCTCAACGTCACCCTTGGGAACCCGCCGGTGAAGCCGTGCTGCAGTTTGATTGGCGGGCTTGTTGATCTTGAAGCGGCTCTCTGCCTTTGCACAGCCATTAAGGCCAACATTCTTGGGATCAACCTCAACGTTCCGGTCTCTTTGAGCTTGCTTCTCAATGTTTGTAACAAGAAGGTCCCATCTGGCTTCCAGTGCCCTTGATCGAACAATTTGCGAACACAGTGTTGTAGCCATATGGAAGAATATTCCTCTTGAGTTTTTGTACTTTGAATATTTTGTTTTTGTTTTATGTGGGTTTTTGTTATTTGGTCTCACGTCATAGATAACAAATGCGTTGTTGTCTATAGCTCACATATACATATGATCGATTTTGTGTACTATGAATAAATTTGTTTGGAATGAAAGGTTGGGTTATTTTTCTTCTTTTTTTGTGAAATTTGGGAACTGCATCGAATCAGAAGAAGTAAAAGCAAAAAAAATAAATAAATACAAAGAGAGTAAATCTCTAAGCTAAAGATCATGTACACCAGGGAATTTGATATTAAGCAATACCTTTTTTTTTTAAGAATTCACCAATATGATTCTCTCGACACACGTATGTTAAGAAAGAACGGATAATCAGACAATAACTTTGACGCTCAAATTCATATCTTATATCCTTTTTATATTATAGAGTATTTTTTCTTCTTAGCTTGACGTGAAGGTCTGGTGGGTATGCATGCATAAAGGAGTTCGAATTTTGTAAAGAGTCTGTACACTTTGCACTTTTGGCAATAATAACCAATGAAAAACACATCTCCATCTATTGATAATTGAGGTTGATTTTAGATAAGTGCACATTATTGTCGTACATATAGTTAGCTGAAGTCATTCTACAATTTGATGGATCACTAATATTTACTTTCTAGAAAATGGTAATGCTAATATTGTGAAATTCCCATCATTCATACATGATATTTTAGCATCAAATATGGATAAACTCTCAAATTACCTGTATGAGTAATCAATATGCATATATCCAATTCCAAAGACAGTAGCGACTTTCAAGAAAAATGGATGTTTGTCCAAAACCTGTCGTATAAGACCAAAAGTTAAATTTGAATGGTCTGCAAGGCGTTGACTAGGTCCTTGGTCCCAGATTGCAGATGACAAAATTGGCTCAATACACGAGATTGCAGTGTTTTAATTTATGGGCAAAATCTGATACTTGTAATTTGTAAATCCTAAAAAGCTGAGTGATCGAGCAAATCGTCGGAGTACCCATGAATAGGGGTGTTCAAACGGTTTGGTTACCATGGTAACCGTTTTAACCAGTACTATTTGGATAATTTGGTTTGGTTAATTTGGATAATTGGTTTGGTTTGGTTAAAGTTTTTAGCTTGTTTGGTTTAGGTGGTTTGGTTTGGTTTCAGACACTCCTAACCAGTCAAACCAAATTAACCAGTTAAGTAATTAGTCATATATCTAACATATATTATATACACATACTTAATACTTTGCATAACCACTCAAGAGTTAACTTTCATCCCTTTTAGACTCATAAAATATAAAGCTCAATATTGCTCATATAGTGTATATTTGTATATGTAAAATGTAGACCACAACATATGGACGCCTAATTTAGATAAATTTCATACATTATGACGGATAAAAACTTGAAAGGAAAGTCATTTCCAGCCTATGGTAATTGCTTAGTACTAAGTCAATTTACACAAACACAACAATTCATTAACCCATACCATTGTCATAAATTTTTGTTAGGTGAATACTTCTATACTAATCGTAAGATAATTGTCTTAGTTGCATGTATTTTTGTTAAGGGTCAACTATAACTACGTGTTGATTGTTATGTTTTATTCATTATATAAATTGCGAATTGTTGCATTAACCGGAAAATTTTCATCGTCAATGATAATGTTATTTTATATTGGTTAATCTGGTTAACCAATTAACCAAACCGATTAAACTTTAGTTTGGTTAATTTGGTTGTTGTATTAGTTTGGACGGTTTGGTTATGATATTGTATTCCATGGTTAATGGAATTTAGCCTTATTTGGTTTGGTTATAACCATGGTAACCATTTGAACACCCCTACCCATGAAAGAGAAAAAACATCGCCGGAGTACCCACAAAAGAAAAGAAAAAATTGCCGGAGGCATCATTCTTGCTGCAAAATGATCAATTGCCGGAGGCATCATTGTTGTGTTAAAGAATATACTCCTTCAAACCAAAACGCCAAGCTCCATTAATTCATACAGTATATACACACACGTGTACGCATATATTTAGCATGATCCAACGATTTATAAATTTGGGGAAAATATCTGAAATTATTCCTTAGGGCCACATTCCCACACTAATCAGTAGTACAACACATGATTATGAGATAATTAATAATTAACATACATAATAATTGGGGTGGGAGCGTCGATCAGTCACAAGGACAAACAGAGTAACAGATCATCGATTGATTTGGATCCACGTATGTTTGTATTAGTCACGAGATGAACAATGCATGTTATGCAAATTGCACAACAAACCATTAATCATCACACGGAGACAAGTTAATTACCATTAAACAATGATACAAATCCGCCATGACGCTGACGTTTAATCAGCAAACAGAATTCTGGGGAGAGAGACTGGTATAGAAATAGAATGACGAACTATGGGCGGGACAGACAGACAGCAGACAGCTCAAACAAAGAAACAAACAACAACTGTTGGACATGAAGAGAATTATATTCTTCGTTTCATTCATTGGACTTGTTTTCCGGCGAGAAAACTTGCGTTGAATTGAGATGGATTGCACCTTTGACTTATTTGGACAACGATTTCTAAGACACGGTTCAAACCTTTTCAAACAAAGTTCGAACGAGGGTGTTTGATTGATGGTTTTTTGGGAACGAGATCTAAATTAAATTACTTCTACTCCTATGGAGGTTCGGCGAGAGCTCCAAACTACGAACTACATCTATGGCTACATGATAGAGAAAAGAAAAGGGATAAACTTGACATGTGTGTCAAATAGTTGGTTTTGGAACCTTTGTCTCTGTCGACCCCTCCTCTTATTTATAGCCCCGAGGAGGTAACCGCCATAGAAAACCGCTTTTTGGATAACTGCTACAAAGAACCGCTCCTCCTTCTTCGGTAATAAACCGCCTCTTGGACAACTCCCAAAAAGAACCGCTCCTTGCTTCCTCGGAGTGGTGGTTACTCCTTCAACCGCCTAGGTGCCTCTCTTGGAACCGTCGTGGGTTTTGGAGTGTAGCTTGCCTCGCCTAGTCTTGTTCTGAATCTCGTGTCATGCTAGTCTTTTGACGAGCATGTAGTGTCTCGCAAAGGGGGTCGTGGTCTTCTTGTCTCGCGGCCATGGACTTCTCGGTCATGTCTGTGGCCCTTCTCGTGACACAACATGGCCCTCTCATACTTACTATCTTTTCTTGCGTCCATGCCCCATCTCGTGAAGTGGCACGTGCTTCTCCTTGAAGTGGCATGTACCTCTTCCAGACTTAGTTTATTTTTTAGTCATTAGGCCTTGGTCATGGGGCGGCATGGCCTCTTCATGAAGTGGCATGTACCTCTTCCAGACTTAGTTAAATTTTCACTCCTTCGGTCTTATTGGTGAGGCGGCATGGCCTCTTCGTTGAGGCGGCATGGCCTCTCTTTAGACTTAGTGGCTTGGGCCTAAAATCAATATCCATAAGGCCCAACTGAAACAACATTAATTGTTCTAATGGGTGTGGCCTTATAAACTCATTAATTATCTTGTAACTCACCAATGTGGTACAAGACAAATTTTATGGTGTAAACAAATGCCCCCCAACTACTTAGTGCATAAGGCTTATGGACTAAGTAGTTGAACACCACCATGCTAGCGAAAGTAACAAGCTGGCTAGTGTGTACTCAACACACCTAGTTCATCTTTAGCCAAAATTTGGCTTTCACGTCAAGCCAACACGGTAGGATGGTACTCGACGTCAAAACTTGTCTCATGCCTTAGACAAATTTTTGGATATCAAGTTAACCCACAATGGCAAGAGGGAACATGGCAAACGGCTTGCTCCATGCCTTAGCCAAATTTTGGCTTTCGATGTCAACACACGATGGCACGAAGGAACGTGGAAAGAGGCTTGCTCCATGCCTTAGCCAAATTTTGGCTTTCAATGATCATGCCAACATGGCCGGATGGAACTCGCCATCAACGACTTATCCCATGCCTTAGCCAAATTTTGGCTTTTAATGGTCAAGCCACCTAATGCATTCAACGAGACACCAACTTCACTTTATCACCTACACCCTCATTGACATCTCGTACTTAGCCACATGGTTGAGAAAATAACTTGGAATTTTTCGCACCTATTTTGGCATAGATTGACTCATCTCACCTCGTCACAAGGCTAGACAGCTCCCTCGCGACAAGTCAAGCCGTCTACTTTTTGCCTTAGAAAAAAAATAATGTTCATTTTTATGTTGGTAGAGACATTATGGTCACCACTCCTCTACTACCACTTTCAAGCCATCATGCCCCCCCAAGGTCGTGGCTACTCGGGACAAGATAACATGGCATGGCCTGATGTATGGCTCGTCATGTCAAGCCATCACAATAACGTGGTGGCAAGATCTTCATGTCGAAGTCTAACAACTCCGACTCAAGATTTTCACTTTGATATTTTCCTTCTATCTTTTCTTTTAGCCATGGTTGGCTACAATATTTTTTATAACTAATATATAATAATTACATTATATAAATTTATTTATTTTATATGGCAAGAAGTGACAAATGTCACTGCTCTCCATAGCCTTTGGCAACAATCAATGTACCAAAGGTGTACACCCATTGCCAAGTCCATGGATCAAACCAGACATGCCATCCATAGACCACATGACTCTTTTCCTCCATGGGAGATGAATCTTCATACATTAACTTTGAATTTTCTAGCTTACTAATGGGTGGTACATAGTGAGCCTGTCTAGTTTTGGTGGCCTTGCATGAGGCCTCATGCTTCTTTGCTTGGGCCACCTTACTTGACATGTCAAGGCTATCATGATTATTCTTCTGCCTTGATTTCCTCCCACTTGATAAATGCTTAATCTCCTCACGATGTTGGGGACCAGGTATAGGCTTGACAAGTTGACAACCACTCGTGTAGCTTCCTTGTCTTCGTCTTTCAATATATAAACCTTGTTGGCCCCTATACTTAGCACTCAACCACCATTGACTCTTTGTGCAGCCATGTTTGGCTGGTGTGTATGGTGACTTCTTATACATGCCCCCATGTACACTCTTTGTGGTTAGTGACGAGTACTTACTATTCATTGACATGGACTTGCCCCCCAATCCTCCCTTGTCCATAATCTCATGCTTACAAAATCCATGTGAGGGTTTGACTTCTTTTGTCTTCTTGGAGATGTTGTCTACTTCATTCTTCATGGTGGGTGAAATGCTCCCTTGTCCAGACTTAGCAAAATTTGCGAGACTGTGACAACTCTTTCTGCCTTTTCCACGTCTTTCCTTGTTGGACTTGCCCCCATGTCCACTGTTTGTGGTTGGTGGCATGCTTTCTTGTCCAGACTTAGCCATATTATCATATTTATCACAAACATGTGAGGCTTTGGGTTGATGTGGCTTCTTGGAAACCACCTTCCCCCTAGATGGACATCTCGACTTCTCTTCGTCAACCTTAAAACTCTTCTTGCAATGAGCACACAAATTCTCAACTTCATCAGTCATCATTGCGGCCAGGCTGGCCTGCTTGGTACATGACGAGCTTCCTTGGTCGATCACCACGTTGGGTCTCCTTTGAGGTGGTGTTGTATCCAACACCAGCTTGAAGCGTGGTAACTCGACTTTGGAGAAGTCTGGGTTGACCATGTTGATGCCAAGCACCTTGGGGAACGGATCAGTGTCCACCAACATGGCATCCTTCTTTGCTTCAGGGAACTTGATACGTCCCTTTTCAATGGCATCCTGCAAGACATTATGGAACACCACACAAGAATCAGTGGCATGTGACATGCTATTATGCCACTTACAATACTTTTTCCCTTTTAATTTCTCGGGTGAGGGAAAGACATGCCCCCCTGTCAACTTGATCTGACCATCCTTGTAGAGTTGGTCAAAAATCAAGTCAGCTTTCGAGCCATCAAAGGAGTACTTGCGTGGCTGCATGGGGGCCCTATTGGGTCTACCCCCTTGCGGCTCGTTTTCAGCCTTAGTCAAAGAAACACAAACATATGGCTTCCCCGGAGCTAACTCAGCCAGGTCTACTTCCACCTCAATGGCCTCTTGGCCGACCTGGTTGACAGGGTAGTTAATTGAGGGGAAGTATTGCCCCCTTGATGCACTCCTCCTATTCTCCTCTTCTTGGAGAAGAGACTCATATCTCACAGCACAAGACATGAGTTGGAACAAGTCCGAGAACTCTCTGTCTTGGAATTTCTTCCTTAGCTCAAAACTCAAGCCCCCTTGAGCAAGCTTGACAAATTCCCTCTCTGTCAAGTTGACAAAGCAACGGTTACGAGCATTCTTGAAGTTAGTCAAAAAATGCTCGACCGACTCCCCTGGCTGCTGGCGCATGCGTGACAAGTCAGCCATTGAGACCTCGTGCTCAGATCTATAGAACTGGGCATGGAAGATTTGTTCCATCTGTTGCCAAGTTTGGACAGAGTTAGTCGGCAAGTTGACATACCATGCAAAAGCTGGCCCTGTCAACGAGTTGCCAAAAAGTCTTAGCTTGACAAAGTCTCCCACGTCTCCACATTGGACAGTAAACCGTCCCACATGTTCAACAGTGGACTGGTCGCCAGTACCCGTGAAGGTGGCAAACTCGGGCACCCTAAACCCTCTTGGGAATGGGTATAGCCTATCTACCCATTCCGGGTAAGGCTTACGGTACACAGGTGGCATGGTGGGCCTTACTCCTAAACCAAATTGCTCGGTAAGAAGTTGAGCCACCTGATCCCTTAGGGCATTAGCATCATGCCCCCCTTGCCCCCCTGGCGGGACGAACCCCATGGGGTCCACACCATGCCCATGGACTTGGGGTGGTATGGGTGCTGGGTAAGCACGTGGAGGAACTTGATCCCCAACACCTAACCTTCCTCCCCCACCCATGTTAGGAGGAGCTACGTAGGGTCTCGCCACCGGGATGGATGGCGGTTGTTCAACATGGGTGTTGAACATAGTGGCGAAATTTTCGCCACGTGGGAGAAATTCCCCAACTCCCACGTTAACTGAAGCCTCCACTTGAGTGGTGGCGGGAATCTCGCCGCGATTCACGGGGTGAGAGGTTGGTTGGGTTGTCACCGGCGGCGGTAGGTTATCTTGCCGTGGTTGGCCATTCCGGCCACCGACAGGAGACAAATTTGCATTGTTTGGAGTTGAACTTGTGCCATCAATTGGCAAAGCTCGTGATTGTACCACTGGTGTGGTCAAAATTCTCCTAAACTCATCAAAATCATTCCTATTTTTAGTTACAATTTCAAAAAGTTGACTTAAACGCCTATCTACACAGGAGTTAAGACAATCAATTTGTGAATTTACCTGAAGAGTGTTGCCAGCCAAAGCTTCCCCCATGAATTGGCGAAGTGACCCAATGGCAGCAACTACATCAACGTTGGAGTTTGGTGCCGGCGGCGGCAGGGCTTCCCCGCCGTCATTGTCACCGGAAACCGCTTCAGCTAACCGGCCATGTTCAATGTTGGCCACTTGCTCCTCCACAAACCCTGGCGGAGCATCACTTTCCTGAGTCTTTCACCTAGGAGCCATCGAATCAAACACACAGTTGTCCCACCAGGTGTGCCAATTTTGTTTTCCGGCGAGAAAACTTGCGTTGAATTGAAATGGATTGCACCTTTGACTTCTTTGGACAACGATTTCTAAGACACGGTTCAAACCTCTTCAAAAAAAGTTCGAACGAGGGTGTTCGATTGATGGTTTTTTGGGAACGAGATCTAAATTAAATTACTTCTACTCCTATGGAGGTTCGGCGAGAGCTCCAAACTACGAACTACATCTATGGCTACATGATAGAGAAAAGAAAAGGGATAAACTTGACATGTGTGTCAAATAGTTGGTTTTGGAACCTTTGTCTCTGTCGACCCCTCCTCTTATTTATAGCCCCGAGGAGGTAACCGCCATAGAAAACCGCTTTTTGGATAACTGCTACAAAGAACCGCTCCTCCTTCTTCGGTAATAAACCGCCTCTTGGACAACTCCCAAAAAGAACCGCTCCTTGCTTCCTCGGAGTGGTGGTTACTCCTTCAACCGCCTAGGTGCCTCTCTTGGAACCGTCGTGGGTTTTGGAGTGTAGCTTGCCTCGCCTAGTCTTGTTCTGAATCTCGTGTCATGCTAGTCTTTTGACGAGCATGTAGTGTCTCGCAAAGGGGGTCGTGGTCTTCTTGTCTCGCGGCCATGGACTTCTCGGTCATGTTTGTGGCCCTTCTCGTGACACAACATGGCCCTCTCATACTTACTATCTTTTCTTGCGTCCATGCCCCATCTCGTGAAGTGGCACGTGCTTCTCCTTGAAGTGGCATGTACCTCTTCCAGACTTAGTTTATTTTTTAGTCATTAGGCCTTGGTCATGGGGCGGCATGGCCTCTTCATGAAGTGGCATGTACCTCTTCCAGACTTAGTTAAATTTTCACTCCTTCGGTCTTATTGGTGAGGCGGCATGGCCTCTTCATTGAGGCGGCATGGCCTCTCTTTAGACTTAGTGGCTTGGGCCTAAAATCAATATCCATAAGGCCCAACTGAAACAACATTAATTGTTCTAATGGGTGTGGCCTTATAAACTCATTAATTATCTTGTAACTCACCAATGTGGTACAAGACAAATTTTATGGTGTAAACAGGACTATACCTAACCAAATCTGAATTTTCTAGGGTAGGGCAGGGCGGCTCTAAACTCAATCAATAATACTTAACTCTAGACACTATAACACTTAACTAATCGTGAATCTGGAGATTTTAATTATCTCTTTAATAATATATAACTATAAAAATTAACCAGGGTAAATATGTAACTCCAAGCTTGCTTTTTTCTTTTTCCATAGAAACTATATATATTTTGTACACTTGCATTATACTAAATGGTGGGGGTAATATAAGGCTTTGGAAGGAATCATGCTACCATGTTATAGTGTTGGACTACAAGTTCATTTACAATATAATGTTGTTTGACTTTAGATGAAAAAGGGTAAATGTAATGCTTTTGAAAATAGAGTGAAGTTGCACACATCATTATAATTGATCGTTAAATTTTTACAGTCATTAATTATGATGTTATTTAAAATGAAATAGGCCTCTTAATTTAAAAAGGAAAAAAAAACGGAGAAATTTGAGGTGGCATACAACAGCTGGTTGCAATGAGCCTGGGCCGCCATCTTCTGGGCTTAGCCTTGTTGCTATCTTCCTGTGATTTAAATGGGCTTTAGTTTAGGGCTCAGTTTTTGGCATGCCATGCATTGGACTAAGGCATCCAAAATTACAAGTGCCTTTCACCCGCATCATCTGGCATCTGCTCATGTACTTCGAGATGTGTTTACAACTTTACATGCCTGTAGATATCTTCTCACAGTAACAGTGACACAGTCTATTATTGTCACAACAAAAATCATAAAAATATTGATAATAACTGACCATGCAGTTTCAGATTTGATTGTTACGTTACTTAACAAATTAGCAGAGTACGTGATTGACACAGTCTAGTTAATTTGAGCACAAAAAAAAAAAAAAAAGAGACAACAAATCGACAATATTCTACATATATAACAGAAGCGATGGAGGATATCCTTGTCTTATCACTCAAACTATTCTAATAACTCAAATCGACATATATAGCACATTATCCCAAAGTAACAACGATTCTAATCACTCACACTAGTACTGTAAACATCAATCGAAAAGACGAAAACATGCATTAACACTAGTACACAACCATTAATCATTAAACATCAATCGGGAGGAATACATGGCAACATCTACCCCAGACAAAACACTACAACTAAACAGTTCATCCAACGGAAAAACACCACAACTACCCAGCAGTAAGCTACTTAACTTAATCAATCAAGTGACCTTAACTTCTTTTGTTAAACAACTTTTATTCAACACGTACGGGACCAACTAGTAGCTAGTAATTGCTTAAAATGTCTAAAGCGGAGGGCAGACGAATCCTGCAGGCGGAGTCTTGCCGCAAGTGATGAGCACCTGAAGCGCCAAAGGAATGATGATGTTTATGTTGAGAAGCTTGAGCCTAATGGAAGCGCACAAACAAACCGCCGCTTCCAGCTCCACCAGCCCTCCCAATATCGGGCAGCAAACATTCTGAATCGGGTCCCCTAACCCTACATGCACCAGCCCTCCCAACAGGTCCACGCACGCGCCCAGCTTCAGCGCGTTGATCGGACACGTCGGCTGCGCGGCTGGGGGAGTACTAGGCACCCCACCTCCACCTCCTCCACCGCCGCCTCCTCCTCCACCACCACCACCGCCGCCGGGGTAGCAACTCGAGCAAGGTGGAGAAGGTGTGACGACCGGAGGTGGTAGGACCACCGGAGGGTTTGTGATGGGAGGAGGTAGGATCACTGGAGGGTTTGTGATCGGAGGAGGGTTGACTATGATCGGCGGTAGGACGATCGGTGGCATATTTGGGCCCTTTGATGGTGGGTTATTATGGCCTTTCCCGCCGCCGCCGCCGCCACCTCCTCCTTTGCCTTTACCGTGGCCCGGCCCTTTGCCTCCACCGCTGCCACCACCTTTGCCTTTACCGTGGCCACCTTTGCCTCCACCGCTGCCACCACCTCCACCGTGATGGCCGCCGCCGCCACCTCCACCACCACCTCCGCCTCCTCCTCCACCACCACCACCACCGTGGTATGGGGGGCGAGTGGTGGGAGGATGGGGTCGGGTTGGGGGATAACGAGAAGGTGGACCGTAAGAAGGCGGGTGAGGTTGAGAGCAAGGGACACAAGCGTAGATTGGTGGCAAGGAGATTACCATGAGGAGCATGGAGATGAAGAACATGGCTACAGGAGCATTAGAGGAACCCATCATGGTGATCATGATGAGTTTAGGGTTCTTGGGGCAGAAGGGGGCTTAATTACCCTATGTGATGTGTTTAGGGTTTTGGGGGTGGGTGTCCTATATAAGGGTTATGTTTTGTGTACATATAGAAATCGGAAGGGCAAACCCGTGACTAGCTATAGCTAGCAATATATTTATTTTTCTATCTACGAGAGGGAAGGTCCTCCAATTAAGGTACAGATGTATAGGTATGCTATAGTTTAATTCACCAAGTGGGTAGAGTAAAAAAAAAAAAAAAAGGGTTCTGTTCTGTGGGAGAGATTTGGAATGTAGTTGGACAATCCCAAACTTCAATGTACCATCCGTGACTTAGGGGCTCAGTTTTTCACTCGGCTGGCTATAGCTACTAGCTAGCTCTGTCTCTCCCATTCCCAAGCCTATCTCTTTGTTTGCTTTCTGATTCTATTCGTCATTGTAAATTTCTTTTCACCACACACACGTTCCTAGCTCTTTACATGTTGGGTTACAATCAGTTAGCAAAGTTAGGCAAAGCTTGGACGACCTCCCCTCATTTCACTGTGGAGTGGTGTAGTGTCTGGTAGCTCTGAGTCAGCGAAGGGACGGGGTTGCTGTTTTCGGCCCATAATAGCATGTGCATTATTGTCTATATTGTACGTGGAGGGTCAGAACTCGGAAAGATTTATGTACTGAAGAAAGAGGTATAGGAGAGGTCTTATAGTTCAGACTAGTACAGGAAAGAAAGGAGTAGCAAGAGTCAAGAGAGGACATATGTTAAAATGGATGCAATTATTAAAGAGGGGAGTTTCGTTCTACGATGTCAACATGTGAACTCCTATCGTTGTACCTTTTGGTGGTAGTTCTTTTGGCTCATATTGCAACCTATCCACCACAAGAAAAAATACACGTTAAGTGGCCGGAGTCGGGATTTACTAAATTATCTCTTGCTTGATTAACTTTTCGGTGTTATTTAATTGATTAAGCACCACCATTTGTTGATTCAGATAATTATTGGACGTAGGTCTGTTTTGTGCATGATGTGTAATTTGTCCTCAACAGGGATTTAATTACTAACAAATAACACAAAACCAAGGAAGCTATATTAGGATGAACGTGGTTCATCAAGGCTTGGCCTATGCTAAATCATTATCTTAACAAGAGCATCTCCCTCCTTTTCATGCACGTCCAAACTTCAACATAGTCAAATGTCTCCAGTTTATTAACTCTTGGATAAGAATATACTAGCCCGGAGGTGGATAGACACACGAGATTGTGTATTCGATTCCCACTTTTTCTAAGTTGATGCAACAATCTCTGAGTAGTGCTTATCGGTCAACTATTAATGACTCGATCGATGTTGGCAGTCCGGAGATTAGTCTTCCTATAGCGGTCAACTATTTATGACTCGATCGATGTTGGCAGTCCGGAGATTAGTCTTCCTATAGCATCAACAATGTTGTGGATAAAGATTATTTGTAAAAAAAAAATTTAGTTGCAATTTTGTCATTCAATTGACTGAATTATCAAAGATTCAAAAATATTTTGTTCAAATAAATAAAGTTGATCATAATGCTCTTGTAAACTAAAATAAGAGTTACACAATCGAATAATTGACAAATTATTGAATGACTGGTGGCGACATGATGTGTTGCTTGAAGCTATCAAACTTACTTATCAATAGTACTCTACTTAGCTTGAACTCTGACTACAAGAGTAGGTAGTGATAGATTCATTGTGACCAGCAATTGATACTTCGAACAAATGAACCAAGCCTAAATAATAATACAAAGCATCTTCTCTTGCACAAAGTAGTTCTATTGTAGTACTATGAGTCATGACGACATTTCACTTTCCAAACTCAGATGTGATTTGACCTGACCTCGCGGGCCGTTCAATAAGCGATACATCAAGTTCAACCCACAAAGGCCCTCAAACTTTCCAAGTATCTACCTTCCTAGTTGCAATTGGTTCATTGACCACTGTAACCCAAATTATCATTCATATCAAGCAGTTATAAAGGATAGCATCATCACAAAGCAATTAGTTCATACACACAAAAAGAAAAAGCAAATTTATTTCATTCCCAATGTCCAATCTTCACCCAGAACACATCAATATATATGGAACAATATATAACAACAATTAATAAACCCAATCCCTAAGGAAATAGAAGAAGGCCAGCTAGAGCCTTCACAAACTCCCAACACAAAATTCACCCACAAAATATTATTCGTACATGATTAACATCCAAAAACAATTTAAAAAAAAAATCCCAAACACAAACCCATTTAAAATTAACCAAATAAACTCCTGAAATCAATTAATCAAGCACACTTAAACCCTTCGGGGGCAGTCTTCCCGCAGACGTTGAGGAGCAAGCTCAAGGCAATCGGGACGTTAAGGTTAAGCCCCAGCACATTGGCCTTAAGGGCAGTGCAAAGGCACACAGCCGCCTCAAGATCCACCAAGTTCCCAAGAAGCGAGCAGCAAGGAGTGGTGGCTGGAGTGCCCACAACCAAATGGACCAAATCGTTCAACAGGTTGGCACAAACACCCAACTTCAAGGTGTCCTTGGGGCACTTGCCGCCTTTCGATGGATGCTTGTGGTGATGCTTGTGCTCCTTTGGCGCGGCCGGTGGAGGGCAGTAAGTGGAGCTCACCAGAGTGAAGAAGAGGAGGTTTAGGGCTAGGAGAAGGGCAGTAGAGGCTGCAGCTCTTGAGGCCATGGTATTGGGTTGTTTTTCTTTCTTTTCTTTCCTTTTAGGGTTCTAGTATGGTAAGGTGGTGGATCGATGTTTGGGTTTCTGGAGTGGTGAGAATAGTGGTAATAGGGTTAGGGTTTTTATAGGTGGGGGGAGAACCAATGTACAATAATGGAGTTCAAGTAAGGCTGTCAAACCAGTAATTGGCCGGCCAGTTTAATCTGGTTCGATCGAAATCTATCATCTGAATTGTTGGAATATGCTTCGGTTTGTTTGATGGTTTCTGCTAAGTGTCAAAATTGGAGTTGACCAGTTAAAATCGGGTTAAACCGGTCAAATATGGTTGGTCTGGCCGGGTTTGAAGATGAGGATTGATAGTTTGACAAATATACTCTTTTTAATGAATAATTTGGTAATATATGAATCTAGACAGTGGCGGATCCAGGAATTCTACATAGGGGTGTCCTCTCTTAAAAATTTAAATAATTAAAAATTTAAATTAAATTAAATAATTATTAAAATTAAACTAAATAATTATTAAATATAAAAGTTACATTAAGAGTTCATACATGTTTCGTAAAATGGTAAAATACATCCGGTGTCTATATTGCTCAACAAATATCTCTATACATATCTTATTAGACAAGGGTATCTGGTAATTGGGTTCAATAGTTAAGTTTTGACAAATAAGAATAACATTTTACTATTATATTTGGATCTAAAACAAAATAACAAATGAGTTGTAGTGTAATTGAAATAGGTTTACTAATAAAGGCAGTGTCCCTAGTTTAAATCACATAGACTACTACTTAAATATTATTTGTATCAATACGCAAACTATTACGGGAGATTGGATAATCATTTTTTCAAATTTTAAGGGTGTCCCACTATCACTTAAACATTTTTTTACTTATACGCAAACTACTATCGGAGGTTGAATAATCGTGTCTCCAAATTTTAGGGGTGTCCTGGGACACCCCTAAACATGCATGTATCCGCCACTGAATCTAGATTAGTGATATTGTTTTAAAACATGCATAATTTTTTTGGTGTAAGAGGCTTTCTCGTATATTCTGTTAAAACCGGATAACTGATTGAACATGATCTAATCATTAAACCTCGAATCACTTACCAAACCGACTTAATGGTCTAATCTAGTCCGACAACCTTGAGTTGAAGTGTTGAAACAAATGGTGGGCCATGTGGGCGCGAGTTTGAGGAGTGGTGGCATGGAAGAATACATCAAAGCTGGCAGTGCATAGAGTGGCGGATAATGGAGGGAGGCGATAAGGGTCGCTTGTGACTATGGATTTTGGAGGTTTCCCTTGAGGTGTTAGCTGTCATTATTTAAACCTAGCTTCCACATGCAATAAGATAACGTTTTCATTTCATGATGCCATATGTGCAGCTAGGTGATTTGTATGCGTTAGAGCATAGGACAATGTTAATTAATTCCATCGAGCTCTTTGCGATATGTGTATGGTTGTCCAGAACCAGCTCACTGATCCATCTTATAAATTGATTGCATGGTGGGGGGTACAAAACATGGAGGGAAGATCCATTTCTGCATTGTTTGGAAAATGCAGGAACAGTAGGAATAGTGTCTAGTATTTATTCGAAATCTCTTTCTCTAACCCGAGTTATTCCTATTATTTGATATTGGGCAAGTATAAATGATATTTGTTGTTAGTCTAATAGCCGTTATTTTAAATATATGGCAGGATGTGTTTCTGCAACTTTCAAACGGAATAGGTTGATTTTTATTTGAAGCGACATGTAAAATTCAATAGTTCATATGGTGGGAAGTTGGACCAAGGCTTTTGTATAAGTGTAAATACAGAGAAGTTAAAGATTGGATTGTTATTTTATTTGGGGTCAGGTACCTGGGCATGTTTATTGAGTTTCCTTGTATTTTGAACACATCGAAAGTTGTATCCGTCGTGCTTGGTGGTTTACAGTTGTTGTCCCAGACCGTCATATTTTGTAATCTCATTCTCACAGATTGTGACTCGCACTCTGGTTAGTATACAATCCGTCAATTACATCATTCATTAGGAAAAAAACAACAACTTAAACTCCATTTATGAATTTTTGCTAACTTCCTCAAACAACTTAGAGATTGAAACTTTTGAGGAATTTTATCAAAGGCCTTTGTCAAAACTATTAATCTAAGACTGAAAGTGTCTACACTTATCTTAGCATGTGATGTGCAGGAAGAATTATGTTTGGCAATTAGTTGAGCGTACGTTTCAACATTTGGGGTAGATTGGGGGGATCGGATTTTGTTGTGTTGCGGTGAAAATGACTGTAGAGAGAGGGCAGTCTCTGTGTTTCACTTTCTCTATCTCGGGAAGGGCGGCAATTTCGTGGCAGCTGAAGCCACTAGCCTACTTTCACTATTTAATCATGGCTGTTGGTTAATCATGCCAACGATTCTTTGCTCTTTCCACCAATTTATACATACAAAGCTAGGTTTGGTAAAGTGATAGCAAAACAAGAGTCGCTAAAAGGGTTGATGGCTGGCTAGTGCTCTCCTTCCTGCATGTGATTTAGATCTTCTGTAGTGACACAAGGTACATGTGTGAGAGATGTATAGATTTGAGCTAGTGTGCGTGTGGTGCCATCTATCTAATCATGTTGTCTGGCAGAGTCAGAAAGCTGAACCAAAAGAGCTAAAAATCCATGCTCATAGAATTTTATCTGATGATAAACAATTATATTTTCCAAATCTATTACAAAATTTACACAATTTATTTCACTTATTTGTTGGCTATAGCCTATCCTGTCATTAACATAGTTTCGTCACTGATAATTGGATGTTTGCTTTTAATTAAAATACAGATAGATTGATTCACGAGATTTTAGGTGTAAATCCAGAATGTAGCTAGAAGCTCGTATCTTCGTACCGTTCTTTCTTTCTGTTTGAACCTAACTGAGTGTAGGAGTGAGGTTCGGGGAAGAAAGTGGGTCAAGGAGAGTAAGCGATGGAAAATCAACTAGATGACGTAGAACAAAGGTCTGAGAGAATGAGGTTGAGAGAATTGGTGTTTTAGAGAGAGAAGTTGATGTTTGTAGAGATAGAATGCCCAAAATGCGATCCCCTCACCCACCGGAGTAAATGCCATATTTATAGGCTACATGGTGGTGGGTGAGTTTACATGGTGACATGACTACTGACATGTCATACTCTAGACCATGCTTCTACCTAGGACTAGGAGGTTTATCCATGATGGCCCCCTAGGACTGCGATGGGACTGCGATGTGATTGCTCCACTAGGATTTGAGCTTAGGAGCACATATTTCGATCGAGTCAAACTGTGGCCTATGTATCTCCAAACAAAGCAGTTGAGGCCCAGATACGACTAAAACACGATTCGAGTCATCATCAGCAGAAAGGCTGACCGAAGAGCAGTGTAGTAGTTGCAGGTTTTTCAATTTGGGGAAATTAGCAAAGGGATCCTGTGGTTCATTCACACCGCTGAACTCAAAGTGGGAGGATTGCAAAGTCAGAGTTTCAAGCAGTTCCAGACCGGACAACATTTCGAATGCAGTCTTGTTCAAGCATGCCCGCTGCAATTCCAAGACTTTCAGAGTATGATAACAACCACAGATCATGGCAATAGCATCCGAGAACACACTGTACCACTCATTTTCGATGATACGAAGTAAGGATAACTGCTGAACACCATGAAAGGCAGCATATTCCATGATCCTACCAAACATATCCAAATTTCTTCCAATCCGAAAGTCGGTGCTAATTTTGAGAATATCACAGTCCGAGCGGAAGGACAGAACTTGGTCTACATGCTGCATGAATCCCAGGTCAGTCCCAAACGAGCTTCTGCGGAAATTGAGAATACGAACTTGCTTCCAGACCAACTTCCACCTGCTTGACAGCACGCTGGTCTGGACAACAGACTTGGTGTCCAGGGAGGAGAGAATGTGATGAAGAATACCGTCTGGGAGATCGCTCAATCTGTCGATTTCTTCCATTGTGACGCCAAGAGTTAGTTCCTCGGCTCCCTGCGGCTGGGACGACAAAGCCTAGATATTAAAACCCTAGAAATGTTATCTGCACCCCCGATTCTCCCCAGACCGTCGAAATGGAGACAACCATATCTCAACTGAGACTCTCAGTCTTGCTACAAACATGAAGTAAGTAGGGTTTATTACCTTGCCTGAGAGATGATGAGGTTACTCGAAGAGCAGAGTTCGGTCAAAGCGGGACGAGTTGGCAGAGTGGAAGCTGAGTCGCAACGGGAGTGGCGGAGTGTACACCGAAAGGGAGCGTTTCACGGCGAGCTTGATCACCGTCGAACAGGCAGGTAAGCTGCTGGGCACTGCTTTGCCGGACACAGTATCGGAGTGGGAGTGGAAGTTACCTTGGCGAGTTGCGACTTGTAGCAAGTTAGGGCAGTGAAAGTGAAGACTGAAGAGACCGAGTGAAAAGGCGAAGGAGACACGTCATTATCCAATTCTGTATTTCTTTTGGGCTATAGGTATTTTGAGTGGGCCTCGGCCCAAGTAATACAAGACGGGGCTTCTATTTTTCTTCTTCTTGAATTCGTAGTACTCAGGTCTAAGTAATTGTACTTCTGTTGATATTAGTATTATCGTCTTCTTAATAGTGATCTAATGACAAAAAATGATCATGTTCGTAATTCCTAGTCCCTCATAAATACATAAAATATTCAAATTCATTTAAAATTGTAATTTAATTATTTTTTTGCTTACTTGTTGACCTGTCAAAATACATTTCTTGCCTCAATCGTTAGTGGTGGAAGAAGTCGGCATTCCGGTGCTGGTGGTGGAGATCGTCCAGGGCAGTTTCACCCTCTCCCCAGCAGTTTTCCAATAGGAAGAACTAGCTGGCAGGGATGACAATTTTGCTATGAATTATTTTACCCGACCTGTTTTGCTTGTTTTTGGCCGTGTCTGACCCGCCCCGTAGGTGGGACGGGGTGGGCATGGATACTATCATTCCCCCAACTTACCCTGACCCGCCCCATTCTAGACTTGTTCTTACCTAAATTACATATAATCTTAGTCAAATTACTTATAATTTTCTTTTTATTACCTCATATTTTAGGTATCATAAAATTGTGAATAAGTGAAACCTCAAATTCTCCAACAATTTAGCTACATTTATCATATTATGGTTTGTTTCATAGTCTTTTAATTAGATTAACGAATATTTCTTATTTTTTCAACATAATTTACATACCCATTGGGTCGACCTGTAGGGATGGCAATTTTGACCTGACCCATTGTACCCGACCTGTTTGACCTGTTTTGGGGCGGGGCGGGAATGGGTACTCTCATCGACCCGACCTGCCCTGACCCGCCCCATTCTCGACCCGTTCTTGCCTAAATTACACGTAATTTTAGTCAAATTACTTGGGATTTTCCTTTTACTAAATCAAATTTTAGCTATAATAAAGTTGTAAATTAATGAAAACTTCAATTTCTCCAATAATTTTACTATATTTATCATAATATTGTTTGTTTTTTGGTCTTATAATAAAAATAACAAACATTTCTAATATTTTTCATATAAATTTCTTACCCATTGGGTCGACCTGCCCCGACCCGTGACCCGTGATAAATTACCCGACCCGAACCCGACCTGCCACTGGGCGGGTCTGGGTACCAAGAAACCCGCCCCGGACCTGCCCCATTGCCATCCCTATCGACCTGCCCCTACGCCTCATGATAAATAACCCGACCTGACTCGACCTGCCATGAGACGAGTATGGACATCGAGATGCCTGTCTCGGCCCTGCCTCATTGGCATTCCTACTAGTTGGAGCGACTAGTCAAATCCGATCGACGGAGGTGAAAACTGAAAAGGGGTTGAGGCCGGGGATTGGAGTTGGAGGATTGGAGAAAGGGAAATGGGAAGGGGCTATGGCGAATTGGAGGTGGATGATTCTTTCGTTTTATTTTATTTGTTTTTTAGTTAATTTCACCTGACAATATTTTTTATTAAATGTTGCCAAATCAGAAAAAATTTATTCCAGTAAGTATCTAAAATCAATCCGTTAAAGGTTTGGACGAAATTTAACATTTTTTGTATGTATGAGAAATTTACTGTTATTGTCACAAAAGAATAATTATCGCTATATATGTGTATTTTATCATTAAATTATGATGTGATGCCCGGTTGTCGCCGATGTGTACGTCAAGGTGACATTCTCGTCATCGTCTTGTTAATGTAAATGACAAAATCTCTAATGACGTTAAAGTTTTTAATAAAAGTGCCTACAATTTTCAGGCATATTTTTAAAATGTGAACATTTTATGTGTTTCTCATAAATGTACTATTATTATTATCACAAACTTGCTAATTATGGATTTTGCCTTACTAAAACATGAGGCATCATGCTCTATTTCTTAAAAAAAAAAAAACCAAAGAATTTTGAAATAACTTAGCAATGACGAAATAACTATAAGTCAAGCACTAGAAAAAGAAGAAAAAATTGAGGCCAGCAAAGCAAAGACGTAAGCAGATAGCGGGGTACAAAACAAATCAATCTGCCTGATATTTATTTGGTGCGAATATTCAACAACTGAAGCAGGTCCAACCATTATTATTATATTATTATATTACAATTATTATGTAATATTAAAAAACGGCTAAATTACACGTTTGATCACTCAAATTACATAAATCTTTCACGTTTGCCACCCGAATTACTTTTCTTTCTTATTCGCCACTAACTTTACGAATGGTTTCACCGTTAGTCACCGGCCGTTAGTCTCCGTCAGACTCCGTTAATTCCGTCAGTTTTTTGATGACGTGGCAAACGAAAGTGTTGACTGTACTGTTAACTTGATGACATGTTCATTAAGAAAATAATAAGAAATAATTAATTAACTTACAGGGACATAAGCCGGCAGGCGCGTCGCTTCACCTCCCCCTTTCTACCCCAAGACTTTCAATTTTTCTCCTGTTCCCTCCGTCCGATTTCGCCATGGCGGCGCAGGGCAAGGCCGCCACAACAAACGCTCCCTGCAAAATTTTCTCATATCCCAGTTACTAGCAGCAGCGCCACCACAACAAGACACCATGATGATAGACAAGGGAGATTTGGGGCTCAACCTAAACTTGAGCTTCCCACCTAATCATCATCAAAATCATCCTCACCATGCTCCTCTGTAGCTCGCTTTTTCTCTTTTGACCAGTGGAAAGAAAAAATGGAATCTATAGCTTTTTGGGTATGCCTACTATGACATGCATGTCACGGTGACATGCATTTTTCGGTCGACCTATTACTAAGGGAGGTCGACCGCATAGTCTAATTTGGGCAGCACGAGAAAGCCTTGCGGTCGACCGCATCGACCACCTGGTCGACCGCATTTAGTTGAAGTTGGTATTTTTGGTCGACCAGAATAGAACCTCGGTCGGCCATTTCGTTGGCGTCAGAAACAACATGGTCGACCACCTAATATATAGGTCGACCACTTGATGGCAGTAATTAACAAAATGGTCGACCGGATAAGGAAAGAGGTCGACCAGATAGAAGATAAGTGTTCTATCAAAGTGTCCAATCATTTGACGTAAAATGGAGATCAAGTGTTGGTTTCTCGGTCGACCTAATCCGGTACGAGGTCGACCGAATACAAGAAAGTCAACCTATGCCCCGTGTCTTTTTTGGTTATGTATGTCGATTTGTGTGGTTAATTTAATCGTATAAATTATGTTTCAAACCATCATAATTAGTCAATTATAACAAGGACTCATCAATCCATAGCATAACAACTAAAAATAAAACACACATAAAATAGCATAATTGTTCACCACATAAAAATAAAACAAAAAACACCATCATAGCATAATTGTTCACACATAAAAATAAAACTAAACAAATAAAACTAAAAACTACTCATCTCCCCCCTCTCCCTCATTCACATTTTCTTCATTTTCTTCATTGGTGGTGGTAGCATGGTGGTCAGATGTGGTGGGATGCATGTATCTTCCGCTGAAAGATCGCCACTCATCTCGCATCTCATTCACGGTCAGCTGCATTGAGCTCATCTGGGCGTTCATTTGCCCCATGTAGTCGTACATGCCAGTCATCTGGGTGGACATCTGGCCCATGTACTCGTACATGCCATCCATGCGCTCCCACACACGCTGTAAGGTGATCGGTGGAGTTGAAGTCTGTGCCTCCCCCATTGGCTCGTCTCGAGCTCCTTGATCACCATCATCATCCTCATCATCATCATCATCATCACCACCACCAGCATGAGCAATGTTTGCTCTGACATACTCACCATTACGCAGCTCAAAGCCCATCTTTTTCAGAGATGAAACAGTATAGAACTCCTGCCTTGAGATCGATAACCCCACCTCTTCACTTAAATTCACATTAAAATGCTCAAATATCACAGTGAGAATCATCCCATAGGGAAGATTCCTGTTTGAACTCTCAGCAGCAGTAAGCATGTGGGTAAAGATCAAGTGTGGCAAGTTCACCTTCTCGTTTAACAGCAGGCTGGTGAGGAGCTCCATGTCGAAGTAGGTGACTGTCTCCCGATGTCCACCCTTTGGCAGAATGTTGTAGGAAAGCATGTGGTGAAGAACTCTGGCTTGAACTGTCAGGTGGTTACTCGATGGCCTATTGCGCCCCTGAGCATCTTCCTCTTCATCAAGACCACATACGGTCTGGATTTGCTTGGCTCTCGTGTAATGCGTTTCATTCCAAGCACCGTAAGAATTGATTCTCCTCCCCGCGTTTGGAGCCTCCAGTACTTGCGCCAACACATTCTTGCTGATCCGCATCGCCACCCCATTCACATAGGATTTGAATGCGTGAATGGATCCATTTGCATTGCGCTCGTAGGAGATGTTGTTGTAGAAGTATTGTACCATTTTTGGGTAGTATGGTACATTGAGTGATATCACCTTCAACCACTCCTGATCGACGAAGGGTCCCAGAAACCCATAATTCTCGAAATGAGAATACGCATCCGCCGTCAATGGCCTTCCCGGAACCACCCTGCGGTTGTGCATGCTCTTCTCTTCGTAGTTATCACTTTGCTCCTTCGACTGGAACAAATTCGAATTGAACTCTTCCCATTCCGAACTTGAAGCAGCAGCTTTTTGTGCCTTTCTTTTCTTTTTGCCGCCAAACATCCTGCGATCAAACAAGCAAGAATACACGTTAGTCCAAATTTCGAAATGAACAATACGCGGTCGACCACTCTATAAAGCGGTCGACCACAACTAATTTAAAACGAGAACAGGTCGACCTCAGAAGAAGCATAGGTCGACCTCAGCTAATTTAAAACGAGAATAAAATAGGCCAAATGATAGTACCATTTGAGTACAAAACAGATCCGGTCGACCTCATAATCTGAAGAGGTCGACCATTGGTAGTTTCGTACAATTTGAAATACAATGAGACATT